GTCCATCTTTATCTGTGTGGATGGTTTCCAGCTGTATGTCCCTCAGTACAAACACTGAATGCTTCAGGTCTACCTTGCTGCTTACCGGTCAGGAACTGTCTCGGTCTGTCTGTGGAACTCGAAACCAAAACAAGGCTGCCAGATACATAAAGACAGACAGTGTATCACCCAGTTTTATCCAATAAAGAACATGTGCCCATGTAGCTAGCTCCAGTAGAATCAGTCTGGTGGTTTGATTTCATTTAAATACACTATAGATCAACATTAGCCACATACTACCTACAGTAAGAGCCTGCAGTCGTTACACTTTATTTAATTAGCTGAACTTTAATCAGTAGCCTAATATTCAGTTTATGTGCTCGTCATGCAGATGCTGCTCCAGTGAACCTGGTCCTCCCTAGACCTCTACAACCCTCTCTTATATTCTCTGAAGGAGAAGAAGGTGAGCAGGGTTTTGTTAATATACCAAGATTAAACATGGAGCTGATGGTGGAAAATATCTTTGAGATAAAAGTTAAACCCTCATCTGCAGTAAAATAACTGGATTACTGACTTTTGATTCCTGTTTTCTCTGGATTGTTTCTGTTTGTTTTCAGGCCCACAGGAGGTGACAGTGAGGCCGGGACATGATGTCACTCTTCAGTGTCAGGGTCCCAGCGACAGCCCCATCACAGTGGTGAAGTGGAGCAGATCTGACCTGGACTCAAATCCATATATCTTCTACTTCAGAGAAAACCGCTCAGATGAAGACTACCAGCGTCCGTCTCATCGTGGTCGAGTGGAGCTGAGAGATCCAGAGATGAAGAACGGAGACGCCTCTGTGATTCTGAAGAACGTCACCGTCAGCGACACTGGAACATATGAGTGTGTTGTTTCAGTCAGAAGGAATGGAAACAGAAAGAGAAACATTGATCCCTTCAGCGTCATCAAGCTGAACGTCAGACCTGTTTCTGCTCTCAGGTCAAACAGCTGGGCACATCTGGGAGGGCGGAGACGAGGACGGAGGACACGAAGGTGGAGGAAACCTGGATTTACAAAATTGTAATCCTGAGCCTGAACCTGACAATCCAACAGTTACTAAGTGCCTCTCTGCTCACCATTATCTGTGACGTGCGCTGGCTGTCATCAATAGTTACAGAAGATTGTCGTACTCGAGACAAAGAAGATGGAAAGCAGAACTTTCTCCAGACTCACTGGAACCAAACCAGTGGAGTAAAGTGGTGAGACTTTCTACCTGCTGGGATCCTCTGGTCCCACAGAGGACAACGCAGATTTAGAAAGACTTTTATTTAAAGATCTTTAGTGGGCATGACTACTGTATTGCTTTCTTTACAGGTCTCAGATCGGACCACCATCATTGATCTTAGACCTTTACACTGCCCGACTCATGCCTTTCATGTTTTCTGTAAAACACTGTGAACAAATAAACTTTTTATTTTCCAGAACTGTTTCCTTGCTGAACTTTTGGGGAGGGACAGAAACACAAAGGGGGAGTTTTACACTTTCTCATTTTGATTGATATTAACTACAACAATGGGTTAATTCTACCAAATAACTTGGTTTAATATTCAATCCAAATGCTGGTTCACATTAACTGGAATACTGGGTTAGTTGTTCCTCATATAGACAGTACTGCAATGGACTACAGTCAGCGGTTCAATTATTTGGACAAAGTACATCAACATTAATAGTTGTAGTAATGCAAATCATACATCTATATGCAATAAACAACACTTTTAAACAATGTTAGAATTTAAGAGAGATTTATTTCTAAAACTTCATAACCACTGTGAATTCATAAACACTGTAATAAATGAATAAATGAATGAATGAACAGCAACATTACTTTATTACCACTACATGGTAAAATGTCCGTAGCTGTGAAGTGGACTATGAGAACATTATTACAGCTAATTAACTAATGCCACTGATTGAGCAGAGTAAGCCAAAAAGCAGTCTGAGGCAGCTGGCTATTTTAGGAAGAGCTTGCTGTGTGGGCAGTATCAAGTGATTCTAACTAGAACGGACACAATCCCTCAGCCATATGAGCAGTAAAGGATAGATGCCAACCACTGCAAAGGCTACTATCTGTGTCCATCTGTTCCTGTAGAGCGGGACCACTGATCTCTGATCTTTATTTCCCCAAGCTCTCTTTATCCAACCACTAAAAGCCAGTCCCACACTCACTCTCTCTCTCCTTAGCTTCCTCTGTCGTTACCCTGCCCGCTCTGCCTGCACACGCTGTACATTCATGACAATGTATTAAAACACACTCTCACAGTTCTGTTTGTTATATTAATGGACAATAATCATTATTCTGATTCCATTATTGGACATTTGTCACACTAAAACATTTTATTTTGGAGTGCAGATGTTTGTGCTCCTGAGGGAAGTGTGATTATATTCCCATCTGCTCTAAGTGTGGTTGATGAGTCTCTTCTATATCAGATATACAGAGAGATAAGTCAGTAGACAAGCGACAGTAGATAAGCTCTCTGAGGAGAAGGCCTGCACTGCTGTCTGTTACCTGTGTGCTGTTGCCTGGAAGCTCTGCTGTAAATAGTGTAGCTGGATCTAACCTTACATTCTTCCCTGGAAGGTGCCTCAGAGTCAGATGGGTGGGCTCCTGGGCCTCAACCTGACACCCCCCCTCTGCTGCCTTCGTCTGTGGGACCAAATGCTGTGTGAAATCATACCCATCAGCTGTCTTCACCTTTTCCTCATTGATGGAAGTAGAAAGATGGGAAGGACACAATAAAATCACCCAAATCCTCATATTTGTATTACTCTTATTTATTTGTTGGAACAAAGTTAGTATTAGTACGCAGTGAACCGTACGGAACCATACAGCAACAGTTACACATAGCCTCACACTCACAGAGAGAACAAAAATAATGCTGAGTCACCATACATGTGTTCAGGTGTCAAGAGGTCTGTGGCAGCTCAGAGGAGCTGATCACCTACTGTAGTCTCCATCCATGTTGGTTGTGTCTTTGTAGTCTCCATCCATGTTGGTTGTGTCTTTGTAGTCTCCATTCATGTTGGTTGTGTCTTTGTAGTCTCCATCCATGTTGGTTGTGTCTTTGTAGTCTCCATCCATGGTGTTTTTGCTGTTGGAACCTGAAGATGAAAATGTACATTAGTCAGGAAATGACTGAACAGAATCCATTTCTTCTTCTATATCCCTCATGTTTGACTCTGAGAATCACCCTGAACTCCACTAACTCACCTGAGTCTGTGACCTCCAGTTGGATGGTTCTGATTGGGTCAGTGTCAATGTTGGCTCTCTTACGACGGCTTGGACCACCTGTAGCAACTCGACACTCGTATGTTCCTCTGTCACTGATGATCACGTTCTTTAGAACTAAAGACACGTCTCCATCCTTCATCTCTCTGTCTGTCAGATCCACCCGACCCTTAAAGGATGGATGTTGGTAGGTTGGATCTGAGCGTCCGTCTCTGTAAAAGAGGACGTACTCTGGAGACTCCAGGTCAGTTCTGGTCCACTCTACAGCTCTGATGGAGTCATCACCAGCTGAACATGACAGAATGACATCATCTCCAGGTTTCACTGATATCACATGTTGTTCTAAAAACCAACAATAAACATCCAGAGAGAAAAAGTTAATACAGACTCCACAGACAGGACACACAGTTTAAACAGAAGGCCTCTTCACACACACACACACACACACACACACACACACACACACACACACACACACACACACACACACACACACATCATGTATGCTAATGTAACATTTCCAAAGCAATATCATCAACTGAATGTCAAAGCTTGTACTCCTGTATTATCATCACTCCATTATCTGTTAACTCACAACATCCACATTGATTAGTTGTTTGGTCTATGATCACTTCAAACAGGCTTGTGCATAAAGAAATGCATATAGACTGTGGTTACTCAGGGTAACAGGAAGATATTACTAACATTATTAGACATACAAAAATAACTGCAACCTATTTTTAGATTTTCTATCTTTTCTATCTTCTATCTATAATCACAATTATCCAAACACCACACTCAATTTGCATAATTCCTAGATTGTTTGCAAAATGACACACATATGTCAAAACATATACACATATTTGTGAAAATGCTATTAGTTTTCATTTAACCAACACAGTCCTCAATGATCAGACACTATTGCAGCCAGTTTCACACTGCTGTGATAAATAAAAAACACATTTGTAAAAAAACTAATTTTAGGAAATAGCATGTGCTAGATTTTTGGCCAGACTTTGTTATGTAAGGGATAATTTAGATGTAAAAAGTGACAAATCCACAACATTCTTCATGATTAGTTTGAGATATAGGGAGAATGTACACAAATAGGCCTACTATAATCTTACCAAGCACTGCACAACACTGATGCTGCAGACTGAATATTTCAAGTATTTATTTCAATACTTACAGTATTTCTTACTATAATCAGTTACAGTAATCAACCAACAATGAAATCAATGAAACAAATAAAATCTGTAGACAAATAAAAATTACTGCATGAAGTATATACACATCTTTCTGCCTCCATCTACAATCTATTGACAATAGAAATCTTTACCAGCAGCAGCTTGAGACAGGAGGAACAACAGGAGCACAAATGGAGCCATCGGAGCCGAGTGAATGTCCACCTGCTATCTGTTACACTCGCTGTCAATGTAACTACTCTGACTGTAACTACTCTGACTGTAACTACTCTGACTGTAACTACTCTGACTGTAACTACCCTGACTGTAACTACCCTGACTGTAACTACTCTGCACAGTCTTATATACTGCTGTAGGCAGATCTCAGCCCAATTGACAAGAAGACTGGGTTTTCTAAATGTGCTGTTCAAGCTATTTCAAAGAAACACAAAGAAACATGCAACGTTGACGATCGTTAGATGCTGTAATGCAGCAGATGAAAAACACATCAAGTTAATTTCCCTAAACCATAAAGCTGAGCAACAATAATCTCAACATGGTGCATTCACCTCCACACTGTGTAATCATATGAACCAGTGCACAGTGAACATGGCCCTCTGCTGGACTCAGACTGACACTGTTTCTGGCTGATAAAACTGATTCAGATTCAGTGTAGCACTGATAAGTTAGTCCAATCCTTATTATATTTCAGTATTTATTCAAAATAAATAAAGTAAAAAACTTACTTAGCTAAAATGTATGACTTACAACTAATGTTCCAGATTAAATTATTGTGACTGTGTTCAGTTTAATTCGTATGAAATAAAAACATGAAACATTGGAAGGTTGTTAACAAGCTTGTGACAGAGTGTGACAGTAGAGCTGGCCACAATATGGACCCAGCAGACACCAGATCTGTCTTGGAGGCACTAAATGAGCTGTGTTCTATTACTGAGAGATTGGGCTTTACACTATCAGCTACCTCGGCAGCCCTATATTCCATTTCTGACCATAGATCCTCCTCAGTGTTACACATTGGACCTTTAAATATCATCTGCTGTTTGCATTATTATCTAATATCAATGTGTGGTTGTTTTCTGTTCAGTAGAAACTAAAGTGTTGTTTCTCTTTAGTTCTGACCTCACTGCTGAGCCGCCCAACAAACCAAGGTTAGTGAACTTCTTCTGTGACAGCTGGAAGGTTTAGCCACTGAAGGCTCCATGGACATGAAGCTCAGGCTGTAGTAGACACTGAAGGATATTCCCTCCATGGCTGAGAACTTAGCAGTGATTGCAAACCTCAGGGAAAACTTGATTGACCTCTGATGCTGGGATTAGCATCAGATCCCTGCATCAGAGGCCTGTCTGCTGCCCGGTGGTCCTGAACTCCAGCTGCTGGTACTCACAACTACATTACTGGTCTACAGGTCATCCTCCAGAGCAGCTCGACCTCCGGGTTGTCCTTCTGTTGTTGCCCCGGCGTTAGGGGGTTTCTAGGTGTATCTGTGAAATAATGACAAGGTTGATGATAAGGTCAGACAATATAATTTCATTGCATGTGTGGACAGAATTACTGATACAGTAATACAGTATATACGTATATATGTATATATGTACAGTATACTGCAGGCTGAATGTGAATGATCTACACTGTGAACATTGCACCATATCCCTCTGCTTTATCTGTGAATGTTTGAAATGTGTTATGTTAATTAAGTTGCCTTGTCTTAAATTAAATTCATGCAATATTTACTCACTGTTCCTGACAATGGGAGTGGATTTAGGGCAGGCAGAGGGACAGTGAACAGGAGGAGTTGAAGTGATCAGCAGGCAGTAGCATGAAGGTCGGGAGAGTTTGATATTGTTTCAGTCACTCTGAATAAAGTCACAATATTAAGATGATTTGCAGTTGCCCTCATTGTTTGGGTCTGAGATGTTAGTGCCCCATCTAGTGGCAGTGAACTGTTAATATATAACCTTTAACAGTGATGGTAATAGAATAACAGAATCCTGATGTTATCATAAAGTGAGACGGTCAGCTCCTGCTGGTGCTCACTCTGTCAGTCAGTGTTTGTATCCGAGGATAGTTCCTTAATGCTTCTACATTCAGGATATAGTACTGTGATCCTTCAGCTCTATCAATTATCACTCTCACCTTCCTCTCTCTCTCTCTCTCCTCCCCAAATGAGGACCTCTGATCACCAGGAAGTCAAGAGTGAGTGAGTACACTGCTCTCACTGCCACAGACTCTGTTCATTTCTTCAAACCACAGCTACATGCTACATGCTACATGCTAAATGCATGAACAGAGGAGCTTCTGTAACAGTTTCAGACCTGCAGACTAACAACCTGCTGGTAAACAATGGAATAGCTGCAGTCAGTGTGTGAACTATACCGCGGCTTTCGGGGGGGCTCACTTATATTGGGGGGGCGTGCCTCAGAGCGAGGACTTACTCAAAACACATCCATTATTACGAGCCTGTAGGCAGGGGCGTAGGAATGAGTTTAACATTGGGGGAGACACATATTGGAAACCTGACAGATCCGTTAATGGTTTGAACAGAAATATGTCATAAATTAACTACACTGCAAAACATTCACCAACATACTTTATTCTACTATAAAGATACATTTGTAAAGATAAAGGAAAACACATTTTGAATGGCAGTAATGAACTGATAAATATCAAATCAATTCTTTAATTGCAGGCCTAATCATCCAGTTTTGTAGATTAATAAATAACATATATTGATCAAAATTTGAATTCAAATTTTCTGAATAAAATTTATCTTCTTAGTTGTAAGTTATGCCTCAATGAACAGACACAGATACATGCAAAGGTTAAGGTGAAAGGCAAAAACAGCATCAAGAATTTTAACATATAAACCAACTTGTTTTTACTCTCGAGTGTGATTCCCTTCCACATTCCCACTAACTAACTGGTGTGTGAAGGTAAAGGTAAACGAAAAAGACATTAGAATGGATGTAATGAACTGATAAATATCAATTCCTGTGTAGTTTTCTGTCACAAAGAAAAGTTGGATAGCACTGTACAGTCCTGTATTCAATCATTAGCGTGCCGTGTGATTTTTTCAGTGTCAATTGGCCGTGGCACACAAAAGGTTGAAAAACACTGGCCTAGGCAAAAGAGCCAAAATGTTTTTTCCTCCTGTCATTTGCAGCCACAAATTGCTTGCAAATTGACTTCTTGTCCAGTAAGTTAAGTTTATCCTGATGGACATGACAGACAGCAACATGGTTAAGTCTGTTTTGAGTCATTGTGGACCGGAGCCAAGTTTTGAGCCTGTGGAGGACACTAAAACTCCTCTCTGCCTCAGAGGAGGAAACAGGGACAACCAAAAGCAACCTCACCCGGTTTTCCACTTGCCCAAATAGTCTACATACCTCTACAGGCAATCCACGAATGATCCCTGCAGCCTCTTCAAACAGAGTTTTGTAACTTGCCTCATCTCTTTCGGCCTTGAGTGAGGTCCTAACAACTTGGACAGCAGCCCTCATGCCAGCAATGGTTCTCTTCTGAAAAGAGATATTCAGGCATTCAAGCTCACAAATCACTGCTGAGGCAAGGATGAGACTAGTGATGTCACGATACCAAAATTATTGTTTTTGATACCGATACCAAGTCAAGAATTGCGATTGATACTTTTTCTGTAGCAGAAGAAAATGGAAATATTTAAAATATGATGGTGATGAATTTGTCATAAGAGAGGACCTAAATAGTTTATGTGTGATAGTGACAATAACTTGTGACTAACTTAGCTTCTCTATATGCAGCTAACACTTTACCATAACATTACCATAATCAATAATAGGAAATAATGAGTTAACCTAATGTTATTTAAGCTGTGATATATGGATTAATATAGGCTAATGTTTCCTGTACTTCAACGTCTGATTTCTTTGATGGTTAACTTTATATTTGAGTCCATCATTTCTTACAAGGCGTTTCACAAATACACCTCCTCCTCTGCGGTCTGTGCTCTTTAAATGCTGTAATAACCTCATATAAATAAATCCCTGACAAACATGCACATGCTCTGATTATAATCATATAGCCTATAGATCATTTTAGCTGATGTTTGTATGCTTTATTTTAGCAGCTTGCAAATGATTAACGTTATCTGTGAAAGTTGCGTTTTCAGAGATGTTGAATTATCCGTAGGCAGGCTGTTGGTTAGCCATGAGGATAATGCCCATAGTCAGCCTACTATTTCTCTAGATAGCCTCGTCAAACTACGGTGGTGCAAAATAAACCGTAGCCTACTCATTTGACTTATTTAAGGGCATGAATGTGGTCGTGTTATCTTTCACATACTGTCGGTCTTTAAACTCCTTGTACAACTCAGCGTGTTTGTCGGCCGAGTGTTTCTCCAGGTTGGAGGTGTTGGCTCTCTTTGTTTACATTCGTTTGTAACGTTAGCACTGACGACAAACAGGTCTGGACTTATCGGTAGCTTTGCCCTCACTGTCAGCAAGGTAGGCAAAGTACTTCCATATTTCACTCCTCGCGTCATCTTTTTCTACCAGTCGTGGACCGGCAGCCACAGTATCACTGTGCTCGCACATGCAGCGATCTCGTTACAGTGTTTGTCACATGACAGCTGCAGCTTCTTTGCTGCGTGCGTGAGGAGAAAACACACAGACGTCCATGGGGAGGCACTGGAAGCATGCTGCACACACCAACATGAAATACGTCTCTTACTAATCTGGAACGCGGTCATTCTTAAAAGTATCGATACTATTAAATTTAGGAATCGTGGCGTTTTTAATTTCCGAGAATCGCGATACTTTTGAAGTATCGGTGCACCGTGCAACACTAGATGAGACCCAAAACTGTTTTGCCTTTCCTAAACTGTCCTAGCAGGCCATTAGCAGTAGAGGCAGTATTTGAGGCACCACAAGCCATCTCCTGCAAGCTGGACAGCACTGACCCATACTGTGACAAAACAGCTGTGATGGCTTTTCCCAGTATTGTCCATCTCGTGGGACACAGGGGTTTTATTGCAGTGCATGATGGATTCTCTGCTATTGCTGCATGAATCGCCTTAAACTTCCCTGAATGAGACAAAAGGACTCCAAGCTGGTTGACCCAATCCAATGAGTCTCTGATCAGAACAGAGGCTGAGCAAGCTTTCTGTGTGATTAAATTAGTACAGTGAGCCCCACAATGAACGTAAAGTGCTAGTGGCTTGTTTTATCAGTGCCTGTGCACCAGCATGCTTCCCAGCCATATTAGCTGCCCCGTCATAAGTTTGACCTCGTAAACCATGCCTTGGTAATAGGGTTGCTTGATTGCTTGAAAATTGAAATCACGATTATTCAAACGATTATTTTTTTAAACTTCAGAAACATGCTGCATTTATTGGACATTTGTCAAAAACACTTTGCAAGAAGTCCTCAGTTACACTTTCCTTTCCCCATAAACATTTGTAAGTGTCCTCGTTACCTGTTCAAACGAAAACAACGTGACAGGAGAAGACTGCAACTTGTGTCGCACCCACCAGCGCAAGTATAAATACCGAGTATACCGAGCGCATGACGTGCAGTTCATGCTGCAGGGGAAGGACGGAAAATACGCATGCGCGAAACAGCTTTTTTCTATACAACGTTGCACAAGAGAAAATGAGAAAAAAAAAATCGTTTCCCTCCGATTTTATTAGTTTTGAGATCGTTTGGCCCCAAAATCGTAATCATGGTCAAATTTCGATTAATTGAGCAGCCTTACTTGGTAAGTTTAATCTCAGCAGCACATCTTTAACTACTCCAGCAAGGCTTTTTCCTGTTGTATCAGAAACAGAATACAAACCAATGAACTCTTCATGGGGCTTCAGGTCATTGTCAACATAACGCAGGCAAATACTTTCTTGTTCTTGCCCAGAAATGTCTTGTGTTCCATCCATAATAACTGCATACTGAAGAACTGGTAGATCTCTGATTGTATCAGCTATTCCACTAACAACAGTGTTGCTCATTGTAGACAGAATTTCATTCTGGATCTGTGGACTGATGTAATCTTTCTGGGACCTCTGCAACCATTTGGCTAAAAGGACATCATCCTCTGCCTTGTCTTTCAAGAGTTGATAAAAATTACTGTTTTCATCCTCATGTCCTCTCAAGGCCTGTCCCTGTCGTGCCAAATATTTGATTGAACTCACCAGTTTCCCCAGACAGTGTCTGTTGTCTGCTTGTTGATTTGTCTTAGCACTGGACAACTGCATTTACAGGGTGATTTTCTTGTGCAGTCACAGAGACAGCATGACGGAGGGTATGACTACTTTCATATGCTTTAAATTTTTCAATAGCTTTTTTTTCCAATTTTTGAATCCAGAAGTGATAAAGGCGGGCTCTGATTTTACAGCAAATGGTGTGAGTTTGTCCTGGGAAATTCTCATGCAATAAAAACACAAAACCTCCTTCTGCACTGCATCATAATGTAGCCAGGGAAAGTCCTTGTACCACGGCTCTTGGAAGGAGAGAGTTCTGTTAGACAGGACTTGAGTGTCAATACATTTTGGGTGTGGCTGATATGACTCTGTCCTCTGTCCCCTGACTTCAGTGTCTCTCAGCTGTCTGTCCCTGCTCTGAACACCCTAAAAGGAAAACAGTCACAATGTCACACAATGCGACGAGACTGCAGTTACTACGAGCACCCTAACCCTTTAAGGTTAGGTGAATAAGGTACAGAAAAATACTGATGGGAAAGCTAGTGCAATATTAAAATCATCGTTATATTATTGTGTAAGTTAAACCGTGTTCACTTCTTATCATGTTCAAACCTTCCTCTCATGATCAAACTAAAATCACCTCAGCCTTCATATAGCACCTACCTGCAACTCTGCAGTGCTGCTCTCCCTGCATCACCCTCACCACTGTGAGTGTCCAGCTGAACTTCATCTGATCTCTAATATGAAAGCAGTGGAGATGAATAAGGTATAGAAAAACACTGATGGGAATGTCAAGAACAAGCGAATACACAGACAGACTAACTCCTTTCTAGATGTGGGGATGTGTAACGTTACTCGTTTTCAAGTTACATGGGTACAATCCCGCTTCCCCAACAGTCTGAGCCGCTGAGGGGCGGCCGGTGACGCGACACTGTGTGGCGCTTTCAAAATAAAAGCCAGCGAGTTAAAGATTTCAAAATCAAATTTTTTTCTCCTCCGCGGTTTAATTTTTGGGTGGGACAAATACAACTGTCTCCAATATTGCAGGGGACCCGTCCCCCCCGGTCTTTTTTTCGTTTCCGATGTCTGATTTAAAGGGACGTTTAAGACATAGCGCCCCCACGCTTCAATGGTGAAGACAAGAATTGCAGGCCGGTATCTTTATTAAAGTGAAATAGTGACGCGTCATCCGCAAATCATACATAAAAAATAGCCTAATTTTACACATGATAATACAAAAAAACAAAAAACAAAACAAAAAGGAAATCCATGGGAAAAAACTTTTAGAGACCCCCCCTAAATTTCACAAATCATGTTTTCAGGGGGAGCTCATGTCTCATTAAGGGGGGCTGAGACCCCCCTGGCTCCCCCGTAGTTCACACCCTGGCTGCAGTGATCAGTGGTTACATCCTGGGAGGGCAGGCAGCCCCATCAGCTCTACCGGTCAGCTAGTCCCGTGGTTCCCAACCTTTTTTCCTTGAAGCCCCCCTTTCCTGTGTCCAAGACAAGTCATGCCCCCCCGACCCCAACCCCAACCCACATACACACACTAAATAGGTATTAAATAGCTTAATGAATTTAAATGTGGACCAAAAATATGTTTCAGTTTGGATTATACAGAGTTTTGATTATCCAGTTGGGTGTGTTATTGGGATTTTATAAATGTAATCTTTGTAAATAATAACTTTGGTAACCTCACAACCTCAGCAGACAAACCACATACTGGACCTGTGTTACAGAGATGAACTAATGTCCATCTGACAGGAGCCCCGTCTCCTATATCTCAGTTAAAATCAGTTCCAGAGACATAAAACATTTCTGCAGGTAGAGGATTTCATTGTGAACCGAGTCCAAACACATGCTGCTTTTCAGAGACCAAAAGGTGTGACTGCGTCTGTCCCTCAGTCTGTGTCCACCCTCTGGCTGTGATAGTGACCGGTCCAGGTGAACCCCAATGTGAGCTGCTGTTACTGACATTCGAGGTTGGATGTTTTATAGGCCATTAGTTACAGAAAGCCTGTTTCCTGCTAACAGCAGAGAGAAAACCACAGCACTGATACATAAAGAGGAAGGAGGTGGGCTTTACTCAGTGTGACTGCTAAACTCTAATGTGCTGATCTCAGATGGCCAAGATCTAAAATGGAGGAATCCTCTTTACAGTGGCTGCTGGGTGAGTAAATATCTACTTTTTAACACTTGGATATTCAGTTCCTTTCTGACCATAGATCGTCCTCAGTGTTACACATTGGACCTTTAAATATAATCTGCTGTTTGCATTATTATCTTATATCAATGTGTGGTTGTTTTTTTGTGCAGTAATTTAATTTAACTGCTAATTTCTGCTGATGTCATTTATCCACTGTATAACAACACAATGCCATATACAGTCCTATATATTTATCTTTATTTATCCTCTTTACAGTTCTCTACATTTATCTTATGTGATTTTATTTTCCATGAATTTTAATTTACTTTTATTCTTATCTCTACTTTCTATATTTAGCTAAGAGTTTTATTGTTTATATTATACTGTATTTTTGATGCCTCTTTTATTTTCTTTCTTTCTTTTTTCTGTAAGTGTTTTTGTAAGCTGCTGGAAATCCAATTTCCTTGCAGGAGTCATCCCAAAGGGATCAATAAAGAGAAGTCTAAGTCTGTTCAGTAAAAAGTGTTGTTTCTCTTTAGTTCTGACCTCACTGCTGAGCCGCCCAACAAACCAAGGTTAGTGAACTTCTTCTGTGACAGCTGGAGGATATTTGAAAGTCAGTAAGAAGCTAGTTGCCACAATATCAGCAGGATTAACTATTACAGAAGATCAATAAACTGATCACATTTATAAATCAGACACATGTAGACAGATCCTCTGCTGCGTTTAATGCCAACATATAGAATTCATCAGATCATATCTGAGTTTGAGTCAAAAATCTTCTCTGAAACTCAGACATCAGTTCAGCAGTGAGACATTCTCTCTCTCTCTAACTGCATCTTTCTGTCTCTCCCTCCAGCCTCTCTGACTGTGAGTCCCAGCAGCTCTCAGATGTTTAAAGGACAGTTTGTCTCTCTGAACTGTGAGGAGGACGACAGCTCTGCTGGATGGACACTGAGGAGGAACACAACCAGAGACACCAGGACTCAGTGTGGAGTAACGTGGGGAAGATCAGCTGGTTCTTCTTGTAACATCAGCTTCATCATTACAGAGGACAGTGGAGTTTACTGGTGTGAGTCCAGAGAGGGAGCAACCAGTAACACCATCAACATCAGTGTCACTGGTAAGATCAGACTGCTGTAACTCCCTGCAGTAATAGTAATGGATTACCAGGTCAATAACTAACACAGGGGTTCTACAAGGTGTGAACAGTGAGTCATTCACCTTTTCACTTTGACTGAAATCAAAGTTAAATGTTACCTGAAGAAGAATGAAGGCAAGAAGACAGACAGGTGTACTTCAGGAAGCTCATCCACACTGGGTGGATCCCAGCCTTTCTCCTGAAGATAGTCCTGTTCTATCATTGAGTAAACTGACTCAGAGACATATTTTATGGATAATTCATATTATATTCAATAATATCAATAACAGCAGAGAACAGCTGATAAACTGATCAATGAACACAAACAGTGAACTCAGTAACTGCAGGACGTTTGTAGAAAACCTTGAGATTTGGATGAAGATTGATCAGAGTTTACCCAAATATTCATAAGAATGTTTTCATGTGTTTTTATTTCTTGTATTTACTGAGTCAAGGACAGGACAGTGTGTCTGTGTCTGTGGCTCAGAAAAGGAGGAAAACTAAAACTGAACTGATCTAATTGAGTTTGATGGCAGGAGAGCAGTACACTGCACTGCAGCTCCCTCCTTCATCCCAACCTCCTCCTCAGGGGCTACAGGTTGGGTTTAACTTATAATGTTCAGGAGATGTAGTGTATGGTTATTAGTTGTGTAAAGTTATAACAGGATCCCCTCAGACGACAGCAGTGAGTCAGTTAAAGGCAGAGTGGGTCGGGGAGGGGAAGCTCACTGAGGTGGGTGAACGGCTAGAAAGAGAAATAGTTTGGGACAAAAACAAACATAAACAAACAAACAATAATCATAGTCTGTTTGTAAAATACATTGGACCAGAGAAAGTCATAAATGATGTATTCATAATCATCTAATGATATTTCCACTAGTTTGTCAAATGTACTTTATATCTATCGGTACACTTCTTTGAGAGAGACTTTTGTTTATTCAGCATCTCATGTAAATGTTTTTGTCTTTATTCTGTCTCTGTGTTGAGGTGGACCAGTGATCCTGCAGAGTCCTGTCCTCCCTGTGATGGAGGGAGATGATGTCTCTCTGCACTGTAAAACAAAGACCCCTCCCTCCAACCTCACAGCTGCTTTCTATAAAGATGGCTCCCTCATCAGGACTGAGCCTACAGGTCACATGACCATCCACCATGTTTCCAGGTCTGATGAAGGCCTCTACAAGTGTCACATTGGCAGTCATGGAGAGTCTCCACCCAGCTGGATCACTGTCACAGGTGAGGAGGTTACAGATAACTCTACTGCAGCACTAACAAGGACAGCAGTGATTGTTCACAATGTGACAACCTTTCTAACGTTACAGCCAGCAGAGAAAGTCAGTGTTCAACAGCTACATAACCGTTTGATATGTAATCTACATAAACCAAGCTGGGTCAAATGTTTCAGTAGAAAAAGAGGATCAGAACTAACAGGAGCAACTTCACTTTCTTTATTTAATCTTATTACTTTCTGAAAAGTCAAACCACTCAATGTGTTTTACATTTATTTTATTTTCTGTGCTTTAATTATGATTTCCTGTTCATTTTAGAGAAACCCACCACTACATCTCCCCCTACACCCCCTATACTTCTGCTTCCCCCCTCTCTTCCCCCCTCTCTTCCTCCTATTATTCTGTGGTGTGGTTCTACTGGTTGTAGTGGTTCTACTGGTTCTACTGGTGAGACGATGCATCCAGAGGAAACATAAAGGTTAGACTCAGACACAAAAAGACAACCATGTCCTACAGTTCACATTTAAAATGACATTTTACTGTTGGTATTTCAGAACTGAGTCTACAGATAATCAGTTTAAAGTTTAAATGTTCAACTCTTACTATTAATTATTACATTCACATTCTCAACACAGGTCCATTTATTTTAGTGCTGGAGCTTTTGATTGAATCTGACCTCAGTGTAAAATATTTGTTGGTTCGTTTCAGCTGCTGCAGCAGGTGGAGGCGATGACATCACAGATGGTGTCACATACAATGACAAAATATTGCGTCACCTACAACAGCCAATCAGACGCAGACGAGGTAATGATGTTTTATTGATTTTATTTTTAGGGACAATATGGAAAATGAAGTGAGGACATTTTTAAACAATGATGTTAGAAATCATGTTCATCAACATAAATACAATGTAAAATCAATGCTTTTCACTTCCTAAACACTGTAGTGAGATATATTGTAGTTCTATTTTAGTTGATGATAGTGTGTGTTGTGTGTGTTGTGTTGTGTGTGTGACTGTGTCTGTTTGGACCCTGCGGTGAATCTGTTAACAGAAGCTCTGTGGTCGTCCAGTTTCCTGTTTCTGATGAAAACAACTCAGCTGAACGTTGATCTGCTCATGTTTCACTGCAGGACTGTTCATTTAAATAAAGACACCATGTCAATAAATAACTGCATATTTACACTGTCTGTACATTCTGCTCACATTAACTGTTAATACGTTTCACTCTTTACAGTGAATAACCTGCAATCTGCAAATGTATTCATTGATATCATTTTGTTGATCTTCACAGTCTTGTTACACCAACATTATATATATTACTATTTACATCCAAATGTTAAGTCACATTTGGATCTTTTGGATTTCACATTAAATAAATGTATAATAATAGAGTTAATATAATTGTATAGTTTGTGTGACAGGTTGACAGCTCTCCTCCACTTGTGTTTGGTCTCTTTTCAAATTTCACAGCAAAGCTTTTAAATGGAGCTCTATGGCACAGAGGAAGGAGATATATCAGACTGTGATACACACAGTAGCAGTTAGTGGATACAGTCAGTGTTCGTTTGAGTCTGAAAATGAAGACAAATATAAAAAATCTCTAGATTTATACTTTAAGAAAAGTTTAAGAAGTCCTTGTTCAAAGTAAGATTTAAGGCAGCGTATATAAGAGGAGACAGACACTTTACTACAAACTGAGCTTTAATATAATATATAATAATATATATATATATATATATATATATATATATATATATAATATATATAAGTTTAGTTGTTTTTCACTCTGAATATCAAACAGCAGCAGCTTCCTGTTTCCATTGGACTGAACTCTGACTCTGGTGAGGTTTCTCACTATATTCTGGTCTGCTGTATCTGATGGTGATGTGTTTGTCTGTTTGTGCCTTGTGGTCAATGTGTCAACCACCTTTAATAGAAGAGAGCAGCGCTGTGGTCGTCCAGTTTCCATTTAAATGTGTTCTTTCATGTTTCACAGGAGTGGTGTTCAGAAGAAAACAGCCTGTAAAAACCTGCTGCCCTTTATAGAGTCTGTAACAGATCTTATTATAATGCTATATGCAGATGATTTCATTACTTGTACAGCAGTAGTATTGATACTCTTCATCTTACAGGTGTTGCAGTGCTACCTGTAGTGCTAACACTAGCAGTAACAGTATCAGCTGTACTACCTGCAGTAATATAATGTGTATGTTGTTTTCCAGACACTGATTCAGTTGCAGTTTACTCCGCAGTGAGAGGAGTCTTTAAGGCATCACAACAAACAGGATGAGAGGTACCGCTGCTCTTTATCTATGAATGCTGGACAGAGCTAGGCTAGCTGTTTGCCCCTGCTGCCAGTCTTTATGCTAAGCTAGGCTAACAATGTCCTGACTTCAGCTCCATACTGAACACACAGACATTAGACTGATATCAATGTTCTCATCTCACTCTCATAAAGAAAGAGGATAAGATCATTCCCCACCATGTTGAAGTATTCCTTTAAAGAGATATGGGTGATAGTAATGAAAGACACAAGGATCTATAAACCAGGTTCACATTGTAACAGTGGGTCCCAACCTGGGGGGTCACCAAAGCTTCACGGGGGGGGTTGAGGGCTGTAAGAAAACTATACACATATGGTTGATAGGTTGTAATTGGACAGCACTACAGATGTTTCACTAAAGTCTTTATTATGTTAAACATTCATTCAATATTAATGCAACCTGATTGAATCTGGAGTTTGACAGCAGTCAGCAGTTCCTGAGAGCTCGTCAGGGTAGAAGTTGTTGTGTGTTGTTCCTCATTGAGTTTGTTTGTTTGTGTTCAGAGTTTCCAGCAGAGCCAGAGGTCGTCTACTCTTCACTGAGGTAGACCTTCACACCTTCAACCAGTCCAACCACTGATGTCCAGCTGGCCTCTAACTGGTCCCCAGAGACTCTCAGTACTTCCATTACTTTCATTGTGTTATCTTTAAAGTATAATTAGACTCATGCAGCTACAAACAGACAAACAGCTCACATTTAATTATTTTTCATTTGTCTTTTTTGGTGCAAAAAAAAAAAGTTATACTATTATTATTATATTTATATTATATTTAAGTTTTAAAAGTATTTCAGCAGGATGCACAAGAACAAGATATTACTCACTATGTTAAACTGTCATTCTTCTATTTCTGAACAGAATCTAATAATAACTATCAGCTGTTTTATATTTAATGTAAGCATATTGCTGTTATTGATATTTCTGTTTTTGGATCAATAAACTTTATTCTTGTTGTTCTGCTGTGGTTCTGTAGGTTTCACAAAGCTGTCTGATGGAAACTTTGACTTGTTCTGGTTGGTTGTGGCTAACCGATACAAACCTCTCTTCAGTGCTGATAAAGAACAAACAAAGTAAACCTCAACCGCAGACTATAAACAGCATGAACATCATTCAGCTTCAGTACAGACTGTCTGTTTGAAGAGTTTGGATTCTTTAGTCAGTGAACGGCTGAGAAGATTCACTCTGTAAAGTTTCTTCTCTCTCAGTTTAGACTTGTGTTGATCATCATGAGTAACTGGAGCTGCTTCCACCTGACAGAAATATTATATATCAGTTCCTGCAGAGCATCATGAAGTATTTATGAGTTTGTTTAAACACAGAATCAACTCAGTAGAGTAGTAACTTTCCTGCAGAGCTTTTCTCCTTCTAATGAGCTCCCTCTCAGCTCCACCTCTCTTCCTCCTTTACTGTGCTCTTCCTCTCCACACTGCTCA